CTCTCTCTCTCTCTCTCTCTCTCTCTCTCTCTCTCTCTCTCTCTCTCTCTCTCTCTCTGTCTCTACCTCTGTCTCTGTCTCTGTCTCTCTGTCTCTGTCTCTCTGTCTCTGTCTCTTGTTTATTTTCTGTGCGTTTATTTATCTCTCTTTTATTTATTTATCTGTCTCTCTCTGCTTGTCTTTTGTCTCTCTTTGTCTTTATATTAATTTCTATGTCTTTGTCTCCCCATCCGGGTGTATAGGCAGCTGCTGTCTCCTTTACGTGTCTCTCTTTATTTCTTTTAATTACTTTTAATTATTTTTAATTATTTTTTTTACCTGAGACATCAGGTTAAGCAACAAATATAAAGACAGAGACCCCACAATGCTCAAACCGTACAGACACCCAAACGCTGCCTTTCCCCCCTGCAGCACCCCAATAAACTCTAAACCCTAGACCTTCTCTTGCATCTTCAGAGACGGTGGCTAAGGAGCCCTTCTCCCTCAACCCTAAACCCTAAACCCTAAACCCTAAACCCTAAACCCTAAACCCTAAACCCTAAACCCTATATCGTAAAAAGTTAAGGGTTTCATTCTACGTCCCAGTGGCGCTGCATCTCCCCAGCGGTTGCAGCAAAACAGAAAACGGCATAACAGCAGCCGCAGCAGCGGCAACAGCAGCAACAGCAGCAGCAACAGCAGCAGCAAGAACACGAGAAGCAACGCATACAAGAACAGATATAAACCCACGAGCCCCGCCAGCATACCCCATATATATATATATTATATATTATATATTATGCATATATATATTATAATTAAACATATATATATATATATATATATATGTATTGAAGAGCCGCCTGCAGCAGCAGGTACTCATTCACGAGACAGCAACACAAACAAAAAGCAGCAGCAGACGCGGCACATGCAGCAGCAGCAGCAGCAGCAACAACAGCAGAAGCAGCAGCAGCAGCAAATACCCACCAGAAACAAAAAGATAGCAAGGAAGATAGCTATCATTAGGGGCCCGCACAAATCGCTGTCTTTCAATAGCTCGTGGTCTGCCCTGAAACACATACATAAACTCTAAACCCTAGACCTTCTCTTGCATCTTCAGAGACGGTGGCTAAGGAGCCCTTCTCCCTAAACCCTAAACCCTAAACCCTAAACCCTAAACCCTAAACCCTAAACCCTAAACCCTAAACCCTCACTTGCTAAAGAGGAGAACAGCTTTCATGCGCCGCCAAATGTCTCCAGGGTGTATTCCCAACTCTGCAGCATTTACAACAAAGACAACAAACCCTAAACCCTAGACCCTAAACCCTAAAAACCCTAAACCCTAAACCCTAAACCCCCATCTCTCAGGGTTGGTGCGGACCTTCAAGAAGTGGCGGCTCGTTCTCAAATGGGTCATCCGATTCGTTTTGCTGTTCTGCTCCTGTTGCTGCTGCAGCAGCAGCAGCAGCAGGATCTGCAGCAGCAGCAGCAGCTGCTGCTGCCGCATCTTGGCTCTGCTGCTGCGCAGTAAACAGCCTCAACAAACCTCGAAAAGAAAATAAACCTTCTCCCCTACTCTGCTGCTGCCTCTCCTCCCCCATCTCGCCGTTGGGGGCCCCCATAGGGCCCCCCATAGGGGCCCCCATAGGGCCCCCCATGGGGGCCCCCATAGGGGCCCCAAGCTGCCCCTTTAAGAAACCCTCAGAAGGCACGGGGGCCCCCATGGGGGCCCCCAATGTTCCATTGAAGGGCCCCCTTGCATAGGCGTTGGTGGGGGCTGAAGGGGGGCCCCCCAAGTATGCTTCTTTTTGCTGCTGCAGGTATCCCTGAGGCATTCAAAAGCAGCAGCAGCAGCAGCAGCAGCAGCAGCAGGTACGTAAGCAATCAGTAGTCCTTCGTCTACATCTCAATACACCGGACTGCTATCCAACTAACCAGCTAGCGAGCTAGCTATCTAGCTAGCTAGCTAGCCAGCCAGCTGGGTAGATAACTAGATAGCTACCTGACTATATAGCTAGCTGGCTAGCTAGCTAGCTAGATAGCTAGCTGGCTAGCGGCACAGCTACAAAACTAGCAGGCTATCTAGCTAGCTAGCTAGCTAGCTATATTGATTGCTTACCGATCCACCCTCTCCGAAGTGCCTCGTCTCTACTGGTTCTGGGGGCCCCTTGCTGGGCCTCGCAGCAGCACTCTGAGAATGGGGGGCCCCCAAGGGGCCCCTGCTCCCCTCAGCCGCTCTCCGCATGTAGTCTTGCTGCTGCTGCTGCTGCTGCTGCTGCTGCTGGAAAGGCGCCTGCTGCACATACATCTGCTGTGGCTGCTGACTGTAAGGGACCCTCGGCTGCTGGAACCCCTGCTGTTGCTGCAGATGCTGCTGCTGCAGATGCTGCTGCTGCAGGTGCTGCTGCTGCTGCAGCTGCTGCTGTTGTTGTTGTTGCTGCTGCTGCTGCTGCGCATACTGCTGATAGGCAGCAGGTGGGGGGCCCCCAGCAAGGTGTGCTGGGGCCCTCACAGGGGAAGGAGCAGCACCTTCGGGGGCCCATTCGTACTGCTGCTGCTGACGCCTGAAAGGCTGCTGCTGCACCTGCTGCTGCACCTGCTGCTGCTGCGGCATCTGCTGCTGCTGCTGCTGGCGGCCATACCCCTGCTGCTCATGCATATACGCCGCATGCTGCTGCGTTTCTGGTGCAGCAAACCCCCCGTACAGCTGCTGTTGCGGCATCTGCTGCTGCTGCGGCATCTGCTGCTGCTGCGGCATCTGCTGCTGCTGCGGCACTTGCTGCTGCTGCTGTCCAGCATATGGCCCAGCATTCTGCTGCTGCAGCGTAGGCGGCAGCTGCTGCCGCTGCGGGTCTATCGGTTGCTGCGGCTGCTGCTGTCCCTGCTGCTGCTGCTGCTGCGGGTCTGCAGCAGCAGCAACAGCTCGCCTAGGCTGCAGGCCTCCCCCTTGGGCTTCATAGCGCCGCCTGATTTGGGGCTTGTCTGCCATTGGC